AAAATAAAAATAAAAATAAAAATAAAAATAAAAATAAACTACCCTCTGTTAGAGAACAGTCATGGGGGACACATGCCCAGAACCTGTTACTGCGGGGCTCTCAAACCACAGGGCCACTTCAGTAACATTCCTGTTTCCCCAGCCCAGGATCCACTGACCAGGCTCCCTCCTGTCTCATTCGGGAGGCCCAGGGGTTTCAACATGGAGGCCCCTGGACCCTGGACTCACTCAGGCAGCCCTCCAGTGTCACCTACATGGGCTGCTGAGCCACTGGCTGGGGGGACAGGAGCTGTCTCTGGAGAGAGATAGACAGTGATGTCTCAGTCTCATTATTTTAAATCATGTTTAGGGGGCGGGACAGGGTTTTGAGGGATGAGAGCTAGGCCCACACGGCCAGCGGTTGAAGACATAGCTGCTTGTCACCCCGGCTGGCTGGGGTGAGGGTGAGGGTAGAGAGCGACAATTTGGATTCCCTTCAACAGGTGAGTGAGTCCCTCCCCGTCAAAGAAACCCCTTGCGGTCAATGAGAATGGAAAACTGATCTTAGGCCCAAAACGTGTGCTGCATATTCTTGTTTGCCAGGCTTCGTGGAGGGCACTTGAGCACCAGAATGAAGCTAAATCTTCCTCTGTGAGTCGAACGGAAGGTCTTCCACCTGGTGGCCCAGGAACAGGCATAGGTGGGACCTGGGAGCTGGAGGGTGGCTGGAGCCCCCCTGAACATCAGGTTCCCGAGGGGAGTCCTGGAGCTCCATCCATTCATTCCACAAGTACAGGCTGGAGCTTTGTTCCCAGTGGGAGAGACAGATAATAAACAACATAGACATGTCTCATGTGTTATTTGGTAACAATTTGATGGAGAAAAATGAGCCAGGTAAGGGGGATAGGGAGCCTTTGGGCAGGGGTGCTAGCAAAGATAGGGTGTTTCTATTCTTTATGTGGACTTGAGAAGGGAACAAGCCAAAATATGGGTGTGGGGGAGAAGGACTAGCAAGTACAAAGGCCCTGAGGCAGGCAGGAGCCTAGTTTCCTTGAGGAACAGCAAGGAGTCCAGTGTGGCTGGAAAGGAAGAGAGAGGAATGGGGAGATGGCAGGGGTGTGGGCAGAGAAGGAGCAGGGCTAGATCATGCAGGCCTGTAGGCCACTGTGAGCCACTGGCTTTTACTGAGTAAGATGGGAGCCACTGGAAGGTTCTGAGAAGAGCAGGGACATGATATCATGTTCCTGGATCGCCCTGGCTTTTGGGAGTGGAGGGTAAGCAGAGTCAAGTGGAAAGAAGGTGACTATAGCAGTTGGTGCTCCATGGCCCATGAATCCTGACTCCACCCCATGTGACCTGTATCACCTTGGGTAAACTATTTAATCTCTCCATGCCTCTGACTCCTCACCTGTGAAATGGACTGGTACTTATTCTTCACAGGGCTCTTCCTGGAGTTGTGGGGATTAAATGAGGTAGTACCTGCACAGGGACTGATACGCAATAAGAGCTCAAATATTAGCCATTATTACACTGCTGCTGATGCTGTTTGGAGACTGGGAGTCAAGATCTCCACGGGCAAAGGGGTATCAAGATTGAAGCCCTCGACTGGAAGGTCAGTCACTGAAGCCGGGACTCACTGGGAGGTCAGGATAAACAGTGAGTCAAGGATGAGTGGACAGCCCAGCTCCAGAGGCCAGGTGACAGTCCACAGGTGGGCAGTGGAGGGCATCTTAGGAGTTATCTGGGTGGCTAACTGGGATCAGGAGCTCCAGGCAAAGAAACTGGGAAATAGGAGCTGGGTTCTGGGAAGGGGCTTTTCATGAGACCCGAGTGAGGAACTACCCAGCTGCAAGGACAGCTCAAGAGCAAGTGACCGGTGCTCACATTTGATTTCAAGGGTTTTGGTGGACTTCCTAAAGACCAACCTTCAGCTTCCAACAAGGTAGGAAGCAGGGCAGCTGCTGACACAGTCCAGCTTGCCAGCTGTGAAGTCGAGGAGGCAGCTGGGCAGGGTTCAGGAGCTGGGTTGGGGCTGATGTGTGGGAGAGAGATTGAAACCCATGGCAGGACTGAGAGGCTCCGGGGGACCACTAGCTCCTTAGTGAAACCCACTAGTGTATTTGGATTAGAGATAGTATCTCAAAAGTTTGACCAGACATTTTTAAATGAGTTTCAAACATCCCTGCTTCTAAGCCAGAAGACATGGGACAGAAACCAAGTACTTGAAGCCAAATTTTTGTATGAAACATGACCCAGCTATGCACCGGGGAGTCTGAGGAGGAGGGGTGTGGGCTAACAAACTTCTCCAGAATGGTCTGTCTTCTAGTTCTTGGGGCTGTGCTTTACAGAATCATTCTGATAGGCAATGAGAAGAAATGATGTTCACTTCCTGTGCCTGCCTCCAGCAGCCCCTTCCTCCCCTTTGAGACTGTGCACTCTTATTTTTCCCTTCTTCTAATAAGTGTGATTATCCATCTCTTGGGTAAGGGTGAGGGTTGGGTGGGGGGAAAGTCTCAACAAACAGCCAATCAACAATCAAACAAACAACTAGTAACTGACCCATGAACAACCAACCAACTAACCAACGGCAGAATAATGGTTCCTTAAGGATGTCAGTGTCCTAATTCTTGGAACCTACGAACATGTTACCTTCCAAGGCAAAGGGGAATTAAGGTTACTAATTGGCTGGCCTTAAAATAGGCATATGGTTCTAGATTATGCAGGTGGGCCAAAGGTAATCATGAGGGTCCTTAAAAATGGAAGAGGGAGGCAGAAGAGGCGGTCAGAGTGATGAGATGTGGGAAGGACTCGACCTTCCATTGCTGGCTTCGCAGATGGAGGAAGAGGCCATGGGCCAAGGGAAGTGGGTGGCCTCTAGAAGCAGGAAAAGGCAAGAGAACAGAGTCACCCCTGAAGCCTCCAGAGAGGAGCACCGTCCTGACAACATCCTGATTTTAGCCCAGTGAGACCCATGTCAGACGTCTGAGCTCCAGTGCTGTAAGAGAATGAGTTGTATTGCCGAAGCCACTAAACTTGTGGAGATGTGTTACAGCAGCAATGGAAAACGACCATGCCAACCAGACAAACACTCTCTCTCTTCTGCACGGTCAAGCCCGGTGCTGCAGCACGTGTGGCCCTCAGCCTGCTGCTGCAGCCTTAGTTCACAGCGTCATCTGTCCTGAGCTCCAGACAGCCAGGGAATCTTGTTTCTCTTCAGCCATCCCTGCCTCTCCCCTCTGCCAGTGTTTGAGATTCTTCCCGGAAGGGTCACTGTATCTTACATCTGCACGGGGCTTTCAGGCTTACAAAGCATCCTACGTGACAGTTCCATATATGCAAAAGTTACCCTCTTCGTATGCCAGAGGGCAGGGTTCTGGACTTAAGTATTGTTCTTGGACACCCTCAGAGGGAGAAGCTTAGCTGTGGCAAAAATGGCCACAAGAGTGCAAACAAGAGGGTTGGAAGGTCACAGAAGGTTGCCTGAGGGCCCTGGCTCCACCTCCCAGCTTAGCCCCAATCCCCAGACTCAGACTCCCTGATGACAGGGCCATGCTTTTGCCCTTTTAAGTAGACTAGGGTATTTAGTAACCAGTTGTTGGGAACATTTCTCAGTATCCTCCTCTGGTTCTTACCATGAACTCCAGATGCCTTCTTCACTTGAAGGACCCTTTGGAGAGAATCTTAATTCTGGGCCCTCCCCTAATCTTAGGCTCTACCACAGGTCATGCCCTGGGCTCTGCTCCAGGCCGGACAGCCCCCTGGCTATTCCTTGTTCCCACAGGTGGGTGCAGGACAGGGAGCTGCAGGGCAGAGGGACCTGGGGCTGGGGAGCCAGGGCCACCAGGGCAGGCTTGCTCTTCCCTCTTGTGGGCATGGCCCATTCTGATACTCTGGGTCACATTAGGTAAACGGGGGAAAGAAAACAATATCTGTTGGCTACAAAATGAGCCCATCAGGAAAGTAACGTTATTGCCAAGTGTTCTCCCAGGGCACGGCAAACAAAGAAGGTAAAAACCTGTCTCTAACATCAGGCCCCAGTTTCAGATCATGGGCCCTGGTGGCCCCTCAGTGAGGAGAGGCCTGGTGGCCTGTAAGCAGAACCCCTTTCGACTTGCCTCTCTTCACTTTGCCAGGATTACTTGGCTTGTTCCTCAGCTCTTGGATGAGAGTCTCCTGACTGAGCAGCCCGTAGGGGGCAGAGGCTTCTGGGATTCAAGTTGCTGTTAAGCTGACCTCCGTGGCAAAGCGGGGAGTCCAGGGCAGCGCCGGCTGCTGGCTGTGCCCTTTCAGCAGTGGCATCCCCATCTCCAAGGAGGCAGCCACGTCAGAACAGGACTTCAGCGGCTTGCCCTCTGGGCGGGCAGAGGTGTCCCATAGCAACTGGGGCTATGATCTGCATATGACAGCACACTGCATCTATTCAGGACTGTCTCTCCCCTGTTTCCTTTGAAACAGGCTTGCCCTATATCCAAGTTCCCTGTGAGTCCCATACAATGAAAACAGCAGTTGACGGGTTCCCTGTAACTCGTGAAATCTGAGTGCATCCAAGGGGAGAAAGAGTGCTCATTACTGAAACACAAAACGAGCCCCTTTCAAGGCACGGCTAGTTGGCCCTTCAGTTTGCTGCCGCTGACCCCGCTGCCCTTCCGAGCACAATAAGCAGAGGGAGGAGAGGGAGAGAGAGGTCTTCACTCCTTAAGTTGCCAATTGATCACTCTCCTAACCCCTATGGGGGCTTCTTCGTCCAAACAATTCAGGTGACAGAGGTCAGGCCTCCAGCCATTCCTCTGGGGAGCGCTCAGCTCTCTCCGTGGGGACTTTCCCAGGTGAAACAAAGAGGAGCTCTGGAAGCCTTAAACAAACTCCTGCTGCTGCTGCACAGCAGAAACAGAGAGAGGGGAAATTAGAGGTGCCCAGAATCACAGCATGGGGCCTCAGCCCCTTCATCCAGCTAGACCGCGCACCCTCTTCATGCTCTGGGACTGGGCTGTGCATTGTGGAAGCCCAGTCACGCCCAAGCTCCAACATGGCGGCCAATGACCGACCACCTAGAACGGGACCGGGGAAAGGGAGCCGTGTAAGGGGCAGAAACCGCTCTACGTTTGCCTGCAATGGCTTTTTTTTTTTTCAGCCGATTAACCAGACTTCTAATACGCAAAAAATATCAGAAGATGAGAAAGAAAAGGAAGGTGGAGGAAGAGGAAGAAGAAATTCATGAGGTAGGCCAAAACAGTGCAAGCTGCCAAAGAAAGCCTGTAGAGAACTGTGGCCCATTCTTCAGGCTGTCCATTGAGGGCTCTGGAGGACCCAACCCCACCACTTGGATGGGGCACCATGTTGTGCACAGTGCAACACAGGACAGTGCAAATGAGAAGAATACACTGGGGCTCTGGGGCTTATCCCACCCAGGAACCAGAGTACACGGTCCTATTGTGCCAATGATCTGGTGTAAGTTTACTTGGGGAGCACAGGCAATCGTTCAACCACCGTGCTTCTGATTTTATCATCAGGAACTAAACTGTACCACTTGCAAGGCTCTAAATATGCCCTGTGCTTTCATTTCTCCATCTCCCTTCTGGAATGCCCTCCACCCACTCACCTACCTGACAAATTCCTGCTGATTCTTCTAGCTAAATATTTAGTGCTATATTCTTTACACATATTCATCTCTTAGCACTATTCACATTGTGTTATCACGATCTGTTTGCTTACTTTTCTGCCACAAGACCATAATTCCTTTAAGGGTAGGATCACTGATTTATTAATTTTGGTACTGTTGGTAGTTAGGTATTGAATAACTACCCGAAGAATTGAACTGAATCATGATAAGGATAATTGTTTCTTTTTCAGGTACTAGACTGGGTTTTATGAAATCATCCAAGGACTTGTGAATAGGGCTACAGTACTACATAACTCTAGGGACCCCATTCACATGGAATATAATGTAAAAAGGGCCCCCAGAGCTATTCAATATGGTGGCCCTGCTTGTGGAACTCCTACCATAGGCTGGGCACAGTGGTGGGAGTCCAAGTACTAGGAGCTTATACTCCAATTACAGAGACAGAACTAACATGGAAGGATGCAATAAGAGCATGGTCAAGGGTGGCCCTACCTGTTGGTGGAGCAGGAGTCCTGGGAGAGGACAGATCTGTGTGGACTACAGCCATTGGGAAAGGCTTTGTGAAGGAAGGAGAACTTGCAATATCCATGATGACAAAAATAGGACTATGAAAAGGTTTGCAGAGCACAGAGGATTTTTAGGGCAGTGAAACTGTTCTGTAGGATACTGTAATGGTGGGTACATGTCATCATACATCTGTCAAAATCCATAAAACGTACACCACCAAGAGTGAACCCTAATGTAAACCAGGAACTTTGGGTGACAATGAGGTGTCACCCAAATGATGATAACAAATGCACCACTGTGGTAGGGGATGCTGGGGGGATGTGGTAGTGGAGGACAGGGGGAGGGTGTCTAT